CTTAAAATATTAATCTTTGTTGATTTTTACAACAGATTGCTAAGACATGTGAGTAACTAGCATGTCTCAGCCACTTCTGGGATGGAATACTGAGATACAAACAGTCTTAGTTAAGACCAGAAATGAAAAAGGACAGAATAAAACTAGCCAGTAAGTGAAAAACTAGCATTCAAATTGCTACTTGCTCAATAAAAAGCTCTCAACCCTGCTCATACCAGTGCTGCCTGGGAATTATTTGCAAAACAGTAGGGCTGTTACTAGTAGGCTGAAAGGCAGACATTCCCAGCAACACCAAGCCTGGGAGCGCTGGCTAAATATTAGCTAATTCCTGAGAAAGCCCTGGTAATGCTGTTTGCTGAAAGAGGAGATAAAGTTAGTAGGAATTGGCAGAGAAAAACAACCTTTGCTACCTCAGAGCCTCCTGTGGAAACCCCCCACCTATGAGCTGTATTCATGCAGAAAAGGTGCCGATCATATTGTTTACTTAAGCTCACAGGCCAGGCTTTTCCCAAGTCCAACCCTTTGTCAGAAAACACCCAGCCCTTTCCTAAAGCCTGAATGTGCAACGAGGAAGCGGAAAGCAGTGTCACGGCGTGAAGTGGGGCAGGGTATTTTATTCCCAGGCGGGTTCTTATGCTGCCGGAGCAATGGGCTGGTTCCAGCCCAAGGCCAGGCAGGGGTGCGTGGCCCGGCGGGCACAGGCAGAGGCAGCTGCCTTGCGGGGCACACGGCAGCTCTGACATCAGGGAGCGGGCTCAGAGCCAGCGTGAAAAGAAACAGCATCGCACTGATTTCTCCCTTCTTTTTTTTTTTTTTTAAATTAACATTTGTCAAACTTGGAGAGAAGCCCAGGCTGCAAAACTTGGACCAAAATTCAAAGAACTCAGAAGCTGGAAATGTTCACATACAAGCTCTTCATTTATGCCTAGTCTTTTTTATAGGTCATGCAGAGATGACTTAATTGCTCTTACTGTAACTTACAATTAGCAATACAGTGATTTTTTTGTACATGATAATGCACAGCAGAGCTATGCTGAAAGCAAAAACAAAACCAAAACCAACCAAACAAAAAAAACAACAAAAAACCCCACACTGGCAATGTTTAATAGTAGGTGGGCATTTGTTTTCCTTTCCAAGGAAGAATTCTCCCTGAAGTTCCTCCCTTTTGGGTGAAGGAAGAGCTGAAGGACTTGAATACCATCAGCAGAAAAAAGTGACAATGTTTTACCAGACCTGGGCGTTATTTTTTACAGTTAGTGGTTTCTCAAAGTCACGTGAGCTTCTTGCACAGCAGTCACTGATGCAAATTCAAACGAGTAACTTGTGTCATTACCAACATACTGAATTCTTGGCATATGACTGAAAGCCACTATTAAACTCTTGCAATTTCACCAGTAAGTCACTAATGCCACAGAAGGCTCTCCATGTGAGAACTGAGTTAAGAGGTAAAAATCCAGCCCTCAACTTCGCACTTTTTACCAGCACAAGCACATAATATTCAGTAAATCATGCTATTGCATAGTAGAGAATAGGAATTGGAGTATTATATGTATTAAAGGTGGTAATGCATGTAACATCACTCTGAAACATCTGAAATGGCCTGTAAACAGCACCTCTAACAGGGTACTGACATCTAAGGCTACTGCCAGTTCTCAGCAGGGCACTTGCTTGCGTTACATCCTAGTCTAGAGACAGCCCAGGGAAATAAGACATTGGGTCATATTATGAGGTTGAGAGAGATTTCAGAGTTGCAGAAACCCTGCAAAGTAATACGTTGCTAGTGCTCCTTTTCTGGAGCTTTAGGGAGTACAGGCAGTAGAGTGAGGTAGCTACTGATGAGCCTTCCTCAGTCACCAGTTTCCAAGAACCAAGTCTCAGCTCTCCCTGGGGCCATTTATGAGAATGATGTATTTACAGTCCTCATGGCAAGGACAAAAACCATGTCTCCTCTGATCAGATTCAGCAAATGAAACTCCTTGTTTGTCCCTCTGTGCTACTTCTGGATCTGTCTACAGCTAGGTTCTATCTGGCTTCTAGGACATGTAACAGGGACACCATGTCTCCGTGCTGGCATATTTCAGAGGAGTGAAAACAGTGAAGAACCTTGGAAGAAGAGAGCTGTATATAATTGTTAACTCTTAAGAATAGTCCTTCTGCCCCAAATATTCTTCAGAAGGGGGACTGCTTTATAGCACAGCACAGCCTCACGTGCATCCTGCTAACTTAGTGGCATTTTCGTTTTGTTGGTCCAGATCTGACATGGCATTGGTTAATGAGCAATGCCTGAAATAATGTGAATCAAGTGATTTAATTTTAATGTGGCTTCTGCTTCCTGCGTTGCTTCAGCACTGGAATACTTACAGAGATAATTGCTTTTTTAGAACAGCCTTTCAGGCTGCTTGTGACAGATCTCATTGCTTTCCTCATGCTTTTAAGGAACGTGGTGTGGCCACTTGCTGCATTAGCAAAACAGCTTTCTAAGCAGGGTCAAGTGGTTTTACTGTCTAAATGGGCAAATACCATTCTTTGCCTCTTGAGACAACAACAGAAATGTCCTTGTTAGATTAATGCAGTTTCAGACAATGCTGTGAAACATAATGTAGATTAATTACAAATAATTAGCACACTATTTTAGAATTACTTTGGCATAAAGGAGGATAGCTTTTCTTCTGGAGATTTTTCTACCACATTAGAGAGTTTTTGGTCATGCTTGTCTCAACAGATTCTTTCTAATAGAGTAAGAGGCTTGATACATAAGGGAAGGTTTTTTGATTAATTGTGTTTGTTACATTAGCATGAAGGAGGAGTTATTTTGGGAAAGTATTTACATAAACAGCATTTAGACAGCACAACATTCGCAATCCAAAAGCATCAGTGAGCTGCTTTGCAGGCAATGCAGAAGGGGATTGCTTTATCTTAAGTTGAAAGAAATCCACTGTTAAATATGCAGTAGCAACACCACCTAACAAGAACATGAGTAATAACATTTCTAATTTAAGCTGAATGTGGGAGGATATAGGTAGGCAGCAAAAGAAGTTGGACACTGATTTCCAGTGTGATTCATAGAAATTTTCAGCAGTTGCTTGCACAGGTAAAGTGTAATAGTTGACATTTACATACAGCTTTTCATTTATTAAAAGCTGATGGGTTCATGGCTTTTTCTTATTAGCAAATGCTGAAGCACAACGAAGTTAGGAAACTGGCTTATGGTACTGACTGTATAAAGCATCTTGATTTTCAGGCTGTCCTGGTTTGAGCCAGGATGAAGTGAATTTCTTTTTACTGATTTTTCTTTTCCTTCAGTAAGCTCTTTTAACTAGCAGCAAGTTTTCCAGCTACTGGACTGGTAACACTGGAATGTTTATGTTACTGCTGAGATGCCAAGGTCACTTGCTCTGCTTGTTGAAACTGCAGCCTCTTCTGCTACAGGAGCAGAATAGTCCTATCTGTAACTTCCCATAGGGTAAATGGACTAGATGGATGGCCAGATTGACCAAGTATTCCATTCCTTATATCTACATAACCTTAGTGCAAGGTCAGGGATCACAGAAGACAACTTCCTTGTTCTCCTTCCCTTCTCTTCCATCCATGACTGGCATTGGGGCAGGACTCCATCCAGCCATCACCATTGATCCCTAGATTTCTGCATTCCTGACCCTCATCACTCTCCCCTCAGCTCCTGTCTGCTCTGCCTCTCTCTCTGGCAGCTCCAGGACATTTCAGAGCTGCTCACAGCTCAGGAGATGCTGGGGGAGGTGCTGGGGGTGGAGGGAGGCAATAGGGTTTTGCACATTCAAACACATCTGTATATAATTGTACCTACTTTCTTTCACCATTAGTATTTAATTAAAGCCTTCAATCCAGAAAGTCTCTCTTCTTTATCCCTACCTGGGTAGGAGGGGGAGTGGATCCTTTTTGTCACTGGTTCAATTTCTGATCCTGAATCAAACTGTGACAGACACAGAACGGATCCACTGATTCTACAAAATACTGCTCACCTTTAAGTAAGAGAAACTGTAAGGTGAATGGAATTGCCTACAATACTTAGGGGAGGAATTTGTACCAATATTGTCCACGGCTTAGGAACAATGGTAATCACAAGGATGTACTAGTACTTTAATAAGGTTACTTCTTTGTTCCACTCTCCTTCATTACCAATAACATCTACAGACACTTCCGGCTTACACATTTGCCAAGACAAAGCAAGCTCCCCATTGCCATTACCTTTCCAACCCTCTCCTACATTTTTCTTCTCATTCCATATTATACAAGTAGATTTGGCAACATTTTTCCTCCACAGAAATCAGAATTAGGTGTTCTGACACAAGAGCAGAAAACAAGATAATCCAAATTATGTCCATGGAGCTCTAGTACATAATATCAATGAAAGCAGCATTTGACCCAATGCTAATATAAAGTGACTCTGGAGCAGCGATGACACATAGAATAAAAATAGATAGCAAACAGTATTTTCCAAATGGTATCTTCCAAACTCTTGGGTCTTACATAGATTTTGTCATTATTATTTCTGTTAGAGGCAATGTAAAAATAAAAATATTTACACAAAACAGCCACACTGGTCTCTGCACTTCTCATCAGTTAAAAAAAAAACATATAATAAAAAATGAGGACTAGGGTGGTTGCCCATTCACAAATCTGTGTAGGGCCGCCCTAGGAGCATGCCAATATTATTGAAACATTAGTTTGTTGCTTATTCATGAAATTCAATTCAACCCAACAATTTACTTTCACTTGAGGCTGATACCAATTTTGACCTAGCCTTTTAGAAAGGGTAATGCTGTATTATTTCAATATCATCAGTTAAAATCAGTTAAATGCTTTAAGCTAAATGTATGTAAACGGGAATAACAGACATTTTTAATTCCTTTCAAGTCCTTTGCATTTTCTTTCAGCACTGTGCCAGATCAAGATTACAGACTGTTAGTATCATTCTCTAGACTTTCACACTATGTAACATTCTGCAATTAAGTAGACACAAGTTCATTAATAAGAATTTATTAGTGTATTTGGGAGACATCCGCAGTAAATCTTTATAGCACAGAACTAAAACATGGCTCCATGTTGTGTCCAAAGTGTGCATGTTGCTTCTTAAAAGTGCAGTATGAGCATCTTGTTAAAAACAAAACATGAAAAAAGAACATGACCCAACAAAAAGGAAACTTCTAAACTACCAAAAAAGGAAATGGTAAAAAACTGTATTTTGGGCAAACCAAGTCAGAGTCAGCTCCAAACAGTTTTAATAGGCACCTACTGTAGCTTCTGGAATCACTGTTGCATGCATATCTCTAGTCATCAAGGACTTCTCTTTCAGCTTTGACTGGAGTAATGTGTGCTCCATTACACCAATCTGTATGTCCATCTGAACGGTTTCTTGCTTCAGTTTTGTTAAGGCCTGTTTAATCTTCACTAGAGGAGCTGTTAAAAAAAAAAGATAAACAGTGCAATTCTTTCAGATACTTAACACAAAAGCATTATTTTCTATAATTCATTCCTTAAAATTGGAGTGTTGAATGAACAAGAGGGCGTTCTACTCTAAAGACATGATTGTACCGAAACATAATTTTTAATATGCAAAACACTTTAAAGATGGCAATAGGCGATGATAATTTTGCTGTCTTCTTGACATCTGGGATCTGCATAAAGACGTGCATGAACATTAAGATAGGTTTGTCAGTGATGTGTTTTGCCCAGCTGAAAGCCTCATCCCAGTATCTAAC